CTGGCTCGCGGGCTCCGCTGCCTCCAGTTTGGGGCTGCGGGAGGGAGAGGGAGAGTTTGGGTGTCAGTTAGGCGGAGTCTCCGAGCCTCAGCTCCCCAGTGCTGCCGCTGCTCTCGCAGACAGTAGCTGCCAGCACTCAGTCCCGGAGCCGCTCCGCCCACGGGCACCACCCGCCCACTCCCCGGGTCCGAGCCACGCGTGCCCCAGCCGCTCCCCGCACGCTCGCCCCAGCCGCTCCCCCACGCTCGCCGACGTGCACACCCTGTCGCTGTCTCCCCAGGTACCCCTTACCCTGAGTCATTGTCCCCTCTCTTGGTCCCTCATCCATGTCCTCCTCCCCAGCTCTATTTTCCCAGAGGTTGCATTAATCAGCATCCTCCGTAGTCTTCATCAGTGATGTTATTTGAGCACCCATAGTGTTCGGAACAGCGGGATGGAACACCCTCTGGACCCCTTTTTTCCCCTTTCTACCACCATGTCTTTCCCATCTACTGTGCACTGCCACAGTAGTGTGAGGTTTCTAAATTTTTGTGTACACACCACACACAGACACACACAGAGACACAGACACACACACACACACACACACACACACACACACACACACATCCAGCAACTTGAATTGTCATTGTAGTCTTCAATGCAATCTCTTCCTTTGCAGGTTCCCACTAGAACTCTTCAGCTATGTATCCTAATTTCCCCTCAAGACACCCCACCACACAGGAACTCTTTAATTTGCCATTTGGGGCACTGGGTAGCCCCATCACACTACATAACTGCACTTCGCTGGTGTTTGTAAATGGATTATCTACTCTAATTCCTCCAATGATGCTCGCTATCATCATGTACTCACTTCTTAGCCTCTGTGGGTACTTCTCCAGCAACACTGATCCCAGGGTATGAAAAACACCCACCCATATCCTATTGTATTTAAGAAGCTTCTGCTCACTGGCTGGTGCAATGATAAGCATTAAGAATGAGCTCCTCTTGCTGATAAAGGCAAAAATTAATAGACAATTCTTTCAAAATAGGTAATATTATCGGCTTTGAAACTTGGAGAGTGAATTTTGTTAATGCAATTATAAAAGAATCAATAGAGAGAAAGGCTCAATTTGAGCAATTTCCCAGTAAGGGGCTCATAGAGATGGTGATGAGGAAACTGATGGGTTTCTCTCCTGGGGAATTCTTTCTGTAGTTCCAGACTGGAGTTAGTACTCATTTTCACTCTATGAGCTTAACATTGTTGGAGGAGGAGGGGGGAGGGGGGGAGGGGAGGAGGCGTTGGTGATGCTAAGATCTTCAAACTTTTAAGACCCAAGAATTTAGTTTATTTTTTCCTTCAAGTGCAAGAGTTGTTTCTATAGGGACAGATATATTTGAATTCTCTCAGTAGTGAAAGTCTCACTACCTGCTAATTCCCTACTTATGACTAAATTCCTCTTCTAACCAGAACTCTTCCAATCATTTGAAGCAGTCACATCATCTTCAATATTCTCCACTAGCCAGACTCAGCAAAGATCCTGCTCCTTGCTAAGTCTGGCTGTTCTTGTCTGAGTTTGGATACATTCAGTGCTTTTGTTAGAATATCAATAACCCCCATAAATTGTACTGCTCCAGACTATAAAACTTTCTAGTCTATCTGTTGGAGGACCTACTTTTCCAGTCTCAGTGGTCAATTACCTGGTTATAGAACCACTCCCAGGAAGGTAGGGCCACCTTAAGTTATGTTAAATAAGTGGGCAGTGTGTTAGTAAGGTAGTGAATATTTCCTGCCTGGATCTAGCTCAGATCTCTGCAGAACTTCCAGACCAGACACAGCCATGTAGGTCTCCGTGAGTCTGTCCGTTTTCCTGAACTCTTCAGGAAAGCGTAATTTCTCCTTTTCTTCTTCATGCCTTTCTTATTAAGCATGCTTTCTCTAAGGCTTTGGGCTGCTCCTAGAATCTTGTGTTTCTTCACTTTTTCTCTAAAGCTTCCTTCTCCCAGCCATGTGACTGTGAGCCAGCCACATGTCTGACCTCCATGCAGGCTCTAAACCTGCATGGCTCCATGGCTTTCTTTCCTTCTTCCCACCATTCACGACCTCAAGGCAGCTGCCAAGATTACCAGCTCACCTGCCCTGAGGATTTTTCTTTAAGATGCTAATAAAATTGTGAAAGCTTCCTTTTGGGTCCATTCTTAAATTCTTTTTTGAATGAGACTAAGAACCCTCTAGGGACCCTCTTTCCCCAGTTTCATTTCTTTTCTCCTGAAAATGTAAAAATCAGGTATCAAGAATATTTGTAACCAGGAACAATCATTGTTGCCTAATAGGTGCTAAATAACGATGTATTTATTTACATATAATCATATTTACTTATACAACATATTGTTTTCATAGTCATGTCATTTAAGAGACTGTCAATAAAATAAACAGGCTAAATTTTCCACTTTTTTTTTCACTGATTTTTCATGTGTTGCTGTTTAGCCAGCTTTCCTCTATTCTCTAATTAAGCAACTGAGGGGACACTCTGATCAGCATCTTTTCTTCATTTAAAAAAATACACTTGTTTCTCTTGGTTCAACATAAATTTAAGATTTAAGAAAAGAAAAATTTGGGGGCTGGAGAGATGGTTCAGTGGTTAAGAGCACTGGCTGCTCTTGCAGAAGACCCTGGTTTGATTCCTAGCACCCACATGGCAGCTAGCAACCATACATAACTCCAGTTCCAGGGGACTGACACCCTCTTCTGACCTCCTTGGGCATTGCACAACAGGGGTACATCTACCTATGTGTAGGCAATATGCTCATGCACGTAAAAATAATAAATAAAATATTTTTTTAAAGAAAAGAAAAACTAACCTGAGTTGGAATTCTAGCTCCAACCAAAATTGTGTGACCCTGGTTAAATCACTGACAGTTTCTGCAGCTATGTTTTATCAACTGTAAAACAGGAGAAAGAGAAGTATGTCACAATGGAAGTTAAGTATTAAGACACATGAAGCTTCTATCTATTTACAAAGCTCTTTGTATTTTCCTTTTAATCCCAGCTATCTCCAAGAATGTGTTAGGCCTCCTCTCTATCATCCATGATGCTCTGACAGGAGCTGCAGTGTAGACAGCATAGTCATTCTGCCACACGCCTGTCTCTGTACTAGTCAATACGGAAACAGCAAACAGGCAGCAGACAAAGGCCTTGTCCTCGAGAGGTTCACAATCAAATCTGTTCTCATGAAATTTTTCTAAAATAACAATAAAGGAATTCTGTAGCCTCCATAGACATACAAACTAGCTAAATAAAGCTCTTGAAGGCAAGGACCAAATGAACAATTAACCATGGTTCTTTAATTTGGATAAAATGCCAATGATGAAGTGGCTTATATAACAAAAATTTATTTTCAGTACATTCGGAAAGCCAAGAGTTCAAGATCAAGATATTAACAAGCTTCATTTCTCCTGAAGTTTCTCTTCTTGGCTTAAAGATGGTGTTTATAAGTATATATCCTTGGTGTCTCTCCCTCTAGCTTAGGACTTGACTTTTATAACCTCATTTAACCTTATTTACCTGTTTTATTTGGACCTTATTGGGGATGATGAGCAGATTCAGCAGATAAAGGTGCTTGCTGCCAAGCCTGATAACCTGAGTTCAGTAACTAGAACCCATAGCATAAAAAGAGAAAACCAATTCTCAAAAGTTGTCATCTGATCTCCACACATGTGCCATGGTACAAGCCACACACACACACACACACACACACACAAACACACACAGAGGTCAACATAGTTCATTTCCAAATATAGCTATATTCAATGGCCCTAGACATTGGGGCACCAACATGGTTTTTGGAGAATACAATTCAGAATACAATTCAGCCCACAACAAGTGGTTTGTTAGAATTACTTTGGGAAATGGTTATTTACATGCATTATCTGAATGTCAATGAAAAGAAATCTGCTTCTCAAACATTTATGTTCATAGCTACCACACTGAGCTACATATATCAGCATGAAATTAGTAAGTGAATGAATAAATGGTTGCATGTATATGTTAGTGCCAACCCATCATGTTTCCCTTCCACCAGGAGTCCTATGCACTATGAAGGAGCACAGAACAGAATTTTAAAACACAAAAAGAATTTTCTTAAATTTCCATCCGGAAAACGAGATATATTTACTTAGGTAAGCAAGCAAACACCCAAAGTAGGTGCACCCAAGTAGCAGAGTTGGTTACTTCCTGGAGATATGCTACAAAAAATGTTCAGTGAACTTGGGAAAATGTGCACAATACCTCTCTCCTAGAAATGCGAAGACAAATTAACAAATAAAAAGGTGCTAAGGCATAAGCATTTTGTGCAGTAAAGAAATCTGCTTTATGAGGTTTACTCTGCCATTTCCCAAATGTATTGGGCCATAGAACTACGTTCTCTCCTAATGGGAAAACATGCTTCAGGCAAGCTTTAGAAGAAAACCTGAATTACAGACCTGGTACAACAAAGATATTAATTAGAGGGGCATGACATTTTTGTGATATGATTCTCCTTATCCAACCAATATTAATAAGACAATAAATTTTAAATATTTATGAGACATGTATCAAATGCTTTTGAAGGCAACATGAATACTATGCTTGGAATACTAGTCTGAAACCACGGCAAACTCTTCTTTCCATTTAGAATGTCAAATCATCATTTCTCAAAAACACTCTAAAATTGGAAACTGAAGTTAACTATCAATTTAACTCAGTAATTGAGGTTTTAACTGTAGAATAGAAAAGTGCTGGAGATTTTCTCCCTCAAAATCATATCCATCCCATAGCTCAGATGTTGATCTTATTTGGGAAAGGATCATCACAG